AGGAGACTTCAATCATGCCAGATGGAAGGTATGGCATATTTGCTGCCCCACATGAATTTAACATTTTGTTAGGTCTATTTTGATAGACCTGATAAACAATAAGATTTAATCCTAGGTGGATCAAAACCCATTGTTTTACTTTCTTTTTTAAAGGCGTTTATAATGGACAGTAGTTTGGTACTTTGTCACAGAACACTGCAGGATAAGCACTATTTCTTTTTAATATGGTACAGTGTTCTTTACTGAATTTCCAGTTTGTAGCCTGAAACAACTGCTATTTTGTCACTAGGTTTCGAGTCTCGAATTTATAAAGCTCTGGAATTGTCATCCCCTGACTTGGATTAAGGCCTAACGAGACCTTACAAAAAAATAACACTAGTGGATCAACTGGAACTCTTGCGCATGCCACATTTACCGTTTTATTTTTTTCAATCCGTTACATTTAGCAAATAAGTAGTAACTGTGCATTAAAATTAGCAGAAATATGTCAAGTTTAAGTTTGTTCACTGCAGAGGTTGTGTTAACTTCCTTTCACTTAAAAAATCAACGAAATATATAATTTGGCCAGGGGTGCCCGAACTTTTGCATATAACTGAATACCTTAAAGAATATGCACACCTTTTATTGAAAGGAGTAGGTAGTAAGACAGTAAGGTAAGAAAGGGAAGGTGAAGGAGTCACCTGGTCACAGAACACCACATCAAACTCCACCCCACTGAGGAAGACGAGGTACAGTGCCACGTAGATCATGCGGATGTAGGCACAGAGGGCGTGGAAGTACCCACAGATGCTGGTGGGCAGCCAGTCCCCCACACAGACCACGGGCAGATCCCTGGTCTCAGAGAAGCAGTGCTGGGGGTCGTAGTGGGCGGTCCACAGCTGCACCCCACATCCCCTGGAGCGCAGGGCCAGGGCAGCGTCCACCACCAGACGCTCTGCACCCCCGATCCCCAGGTCTGGGTGGAGAAACACCACGTTCACCATCCTGCAGGCGCAAAGCAACATTCCAGTGAAAACACGAAGCCCTGAGACGCTCGGACACGACACTCTCCTGTCACAACAGCGGACAGATGAAAGAGAGTAATCCTTTCTCCCAGGGGGGTCACATCTTATTGCTTTACTCTCTATTCTAAACATGTTTATAATGGACAGCGGTTTATTCAATACAATCACACTGCACTGTCACACAACACCGCAGGATAAGAACCGTTTGGATTTTAATTCATTCGTACTGTAAGACGTCTGTCGAGCAGCAAAGAATGGAGCTCAGGCATCAGGACAAAAGTAAATGCAGAATGTAATACCTCTGTGTGATTATTCAAGCACCGTTTTGCAGAGTTTAAACATCTGCCAAGGGGCGGAAGAGAATGTGGGAGGTTTTTATACAGTGAGCGTACACAGGCAGCTGGCCTGATAAAAACTGCACAAGAAAGAAAAGCAATTTTATCCACGTGCCACGAGGCTGAGGATGAGAGAAGTCTGTTCAACCCACCAAGTTTGTTGGTTCTGATTCTTGAGAGACAGCAGTGGCTTCAGCTTCAACAACATGGTTGGATAGTGTGTTCCACACATCTCTTCATACAAAGAGTTATTTATGGAGAAATTCACTTACAAATGTGCTCCCTCTTAGTTTCTATTTGGGTCTAAAAGTCGTGGACCTAGTTTCCAAGCTGAGACGTATACATTTTGAAAGCCAGTGGAGGCCAGTGTATTCAAGCATCACATCAAAGAAAGTTTACATTCTAGATCATTAGGTAATCAGGTTAGCAGTGGAATTCCAATGGTGAACATTTCAAACTATTTCAGACCATTTAATATTATACTAATTTCTATTGGAACTAAGTGAAATATCATGACTCAATGGCACATTTTTCACAGTACAATTATTTGCAACGATAAACATAAAATAATTTAATTGGAACACAATAACTTTTTTGGTTCATTTATTGCAGTGACCTAACTTTATTAACATAGGTATACTGTACTATACAGTATATGTTTTACAGTTCACTGTATTTCTAAACAATTATTCAATAAATATTGGAAAATTAATCCAAGTATCTGATACGTGAAAAACAAAACAATAAAGGACGGGTAACTATCACTCACTACAACATGAAATTGCACTTCATAGTCACACTTATCCCAATATAATCTGATGCATTTAACAATTCTCCGTTAATAACAGAAATAAAAAAAATAAATGCATATCCTTTTGTATTTTGTTAAATAATTTAAGAAATCTTACCTTTTCTTTCACAGTTTAACCCCTATGAATTAAACTGAAACAAACGAGATTTACTTTTAAAAAGGCATCAAATCCCACATAACCATCCTCGTACAACTACTAGTCTTTACTGGAAATAGCAATAAGACACTACGCATGTTTAGACACCATTCTGGCTCAAGTATTCTGTAGACATAATAAAAAGGATACGTTATAGTCAGAGCCAAAACGGCTCCAGTTTCACTTATCACGGTTAGTGTCTTTCCTGTGGATGGAGTTGCTATTACAGAGGGACACATCATCTTATTCCGGGTAACGATCTTAGCTGTTGCCTGATGGACTCGAAAAATATGGATTCAACTGAAAACTATGTAGCATTAAAGAAAAAAGGGCTACTATATATTTTTTTTAAAAATGATTATAGAACAGATCTAGAGTTTGTACATTTCCTACTAAAATGTAAACAGTAAGTGGTATCTTTTCCAAAAACTCAGGCGGCGCCCAAGACAACAAAGAGGGCCTTGGCGGTGCAGTCGTGGCCTGTTGAGCGGCGCGTCATCTTTATGAGATTTCCTCTTCATCTGGTGCTCTGAAGTAGGAGAGGCGAGTGAGTGTTGCGACTTCTGGATCCGAATACCTTTAGTGACAAGGATAATACAGTTTACATTAAATAAATCTTCAGGGAATACTTAAACATGGTGAGTATGATGCTTTGGTTTATTTAGCGCTTTTTTTCCCTTTTGATGCAAGGAAAGTAAGACGGGGTTTATGGAGTCACAGTTCTTTACTTGGTACGCTGGAACTCCTGGTGAGGTTTATATTGTGATCTGGCTGTTTGCATAGAGAAAAGAATCCAGTGTTAACTTGTTAAGCGGCAGTTGTGTTGGTTTAAGACGAAATGCTCCTGGCAGTAATGAGGTTATGCTCGTACTGAATATCGTTCGCTTGAATGTGCAGACGTGGCTGTTTCATGTGCGGACCGTTGGTTGGAGTTAAACCAATGTGGGCTAAATAGGTTTGCTATAATCGGCGTTGGTCCCAAATCTTATTTTTTGCCCTGAATGTAAAAAAAGAATTGCAACTGGGGAGTTGATTTGAAAGTGGAAATTACCCTGCCCAGAACAGAAAAACAACGAGCAAGTAACGTTTGCATGATGTGGGTGTAGAGTGTTTTGAAGACAGATTGTCTGTTAGTCTGTTAGGTAAAATTGCTAACATAGACATTAAATTACTTTCGGCGCACTGGCGTGTTTTTAGCTTTCCTGTCCCCCTTTTTTTAAGGCTACTGTGATATATTCTATGAGTGCGGTTCACAGAGAAGTCCACATTTACAAATATTAGTCTAGATGGGATACAAGTTAGAGACTCAGCAGATTTCTAATTGCCAATGCATGCTGCACTTCAGTTGGGGGGGGGGGATAGGTCTCCACCAGTTTATGCAAAGCGCAGTTACGTTTTGTTCCTGGTGTTTTCTCAGACCTTCCCTCATAAATCATATTTAAAAACAATCTATTGATTTGGAATACTATAAATGCACACTTTCTGGCAGGAATCCCAGTAGCAGTTGTCATGGAGATTAGTTATCTACTAATCAGTAGCACTTATCAGTGCGCTTAGGTACAAAATGGGCTGTATTTACTCCTCTTTCATCTCATTAGTATTTGTTTTTATCCTGTGGCGTTTCAGATTAAAGTTAAAATTAACAATCAGTATGTTGCAACAGGTCCGAGATGGGTTGCTCTTGTACTTTGTCCTAACAGAAGCATGAAAATACCTTTAACACTTCTCTGTTTTTTTCAGCCTGGTCCTGCTGCAAGTGCTACAAGTGTCGGCGGCTCTGGTCGCTCTCCCAGCAAAGCAGTAGCCCCGAGAGCTGCAGGCTCCACAGTCAGACAGAGGTAACGCCACAAACGGTTATTGACTCCTTTTGTGCACTAAAAGTGACAACAGTGCTGTTGTATAGCTGAATAAACTGTACTGTATATGTAGCCAGCAGCCATATCACCCTGCAGTGCACAACTGGCAGCCCGCTGAAGCTCAGCAGGTGTGAGCCTGGTCAGTACCTGGATGGGAGACTTCTGGGAAAAACCAAGGTTGCTTCTGAAAGAGGTGATAGTGTGGACCAGTAGGGAGTCTGCAGTCTGTGTGGGTCCTAATGCCCCAGTTTAGTGATGGGGTCACTATACTGTAAGAAAAGGCACTGTCCTATGGATGAGATGTAAAACCAAGGTCCTGATTATTAAAAATCGTTGGGCATTTTTCAAAAAGAGTTGTGGAGTTATACCCTGATATCCTGGCCAAATTTCCCCATGACCTTCACCAATCAATGGCCCGCTCTTTTTAATTGGCTTCATTACTATGTTCTCCACCCCACTGATAGCTGATGCGTACTGGCACAGTTTGACTGCAGTTGCAACATCCAGGTGAGGGTTACACATTACTTGTAAAGCACTTTATATATATATATGAAGGCACATCTTCTTGGGGAAGTCGCCCTTTCAGTTGTGTGAGTGTACTGGCTCAGCTGTACTCCAGATCCACAGCCTGTTCTTCTGACGCTGAAATGTGTTCTTGTGCAGGAAAGCCACCAGCAGTGGCACGAGGAGCGCGGGGCGCGGGGCTACTTCCGCCGGCACCGGGGGCATGTGGCGCTTCTACACCGAGGACTCGCCCGGGCTGAAAGTGTGAGTGTTTGCTGACTACACAGGGACGGAAGAAAGCACACAGGCCCAGGACAGCCATGTGGCTTACCTGGTCTGCTATAGGGGGGTAGCTCATTGATCTGAGGCTCTTGTTCAGCTGTTTATTGAAAGGGACACAGGTGTTGGCTTTGACAGCAGGACGGTGTGGCTTGTTCCAGACTCCCACGAGGACTAGAACCAGGGACGGGCCAGTTTTGCTGCGTGTCCTTCTTTAGAAGCTTTCAAGCCCTTGTAATGGTGCTTTGATCATTCTCCCGCAGTCCTGGGAATATTTGTAGTTTACCGATTCCCACAGTGGTTCATGAAGTACGCTTTCTGAAACGCCTCATGTGTTTTGGTTGGGTTGGGGGGGGTTTGCTAAAAAAGTACTTAAAGCTCATGAAAAGTTCTCAAGTTTCAGAAAGTAATTGTACAAGGTTGTCATCATGTGGATGGAGAACACAACCCAAGGAAACTGGGTCTGAAGTAATTGCTTACATGGTTTAAATTCTGAGCAAAAATCGCTGAAGTTCCAAACCCAGCCTTTCAAATGATTGAGTTACCTTTTAGCTAAGAAAATAAGAACAGCAGCTGCAAGGGGTTCAGTTTTGATTGATGTCAGAGCAAGCATGCTGTACCAGGTTTCTTTGTGTTTGCAGTCCATCGTCATGTGGGTTTGTCTGCTGTAGGCACCTCAGAAAAAATCTGTTAAATCTGGTAGGATACCCTGGCCCCACCCAGCTGTGAGCAGTGTAACAGTCTTTTCTTAACAAGTTTAAGAAGTGCCCCTTTTTTTTTGCTATTTTTTGTGATTTAGAAAATGTCTAAAATGAATGATTTAAACTGCCCCAGCGACACAGATGTTTAGTACCCACTGATTTACTGTTAATTGATGCCTTAAACACTGTAATGAGCTCTTGTACTTTACTGGAAACTACTGCCAGAAAGCTTAATTAGAGAATAAAGGTCACATCAATTAAAGTCTAGAGGAAGATCCTGGTAATCATAAGGTTGTAAGTGTGTGCTTAGTGACCAGGACTGCAACTTGTCACACGGGGGACCACAAGTTATTCCATTTCTAAATTAGCTAATTATCTGGGCACTCGTAACTCTTTATCATGCTTCCAATGATAATATAATTTTCTCTGTTTATTGGTCTGTTATTTTGCTACTATTTACTTATATTTAAAGATTACTGCATTGCTGATACAGTTGAAGAAAACTGAATATGCTCAGTTTAGCTTTTGTATTTTGACTGTACTGCAGGCTTCTACCTAAAGAATATGATTTAAAGGGCAAATGCAAGAAAAGTAACATGACATTTTAGCCTAAGCCAGAAACTAACAACTCCAATCTACAAGAACTAGAATACTGCAGGATTTACAGGTACTTTTCAATTAATAAGTTAAGGGAAAATGAGATGCTCAAATAATAAATTCAATAAAGTGAAATGAAAACTAGCGTCTGTCTGGACTAGTGTTGCTCATCCCTAATTTAAGCCATTCAATATCCAAACTACAATTTGACATGGTTTGTTGGCTGTTCCAAAATCACTGTTGTGATTTGCTGCTCCTCTTAATGTTAGTACAATTGTAGGATTCATTTTTTTAGAAAAACAGCATTTCAGATCGTGTTCTCTGCAGTAGTTTTGCTTTTATATAGATCTTGCTTTTGCCACTGAAAGGATTGCGATGAAAGATGTTGGGCGTGTTGAGTATTGAATATGTGTGGTACCACTCCACACAAAGGAACAGCTGGAACTGTTCATAGTCAGAAACACAAGGTCCTTGCTCATGAAATATCTATATAGGTTTCCCACTACACATATATTGGTTTCTTTTAGTTAAAATCTTATTCTTAGCAATTGAAAATCTAAAGCCTTTTGGAGAAACTGAGATCTTAATAACCAGGTCAAATTAAAAAAACTTTAAAAATGTATACAATCATGGACATATAGCTATGCTAGCACATTTAGAACTACAGGTGAATATGGCTCATGACTGAAAATTGAATTTATAAAGGTGAGTTGTTTTGTTTGCCCCAAGGCTTTTTGTTCTTATCATATATAATAGTGTGGCATATTTCTAATTGAGTTGAACAGGTCATTTTGTACAAAACATAACACTGTAGGCTGCCACTACTGGCAAGCCTATTCATAACCAAACTGCAGTTCTAAACCTATTAGGTCATAGCATAACAAAGGTAACTTAAGAACACTTCTGTAATGTCATACCTCTAATATAAAACTACTACTGTTGGCCCTCATTAGGCTGCGAAGTTGCCTTCTTCTAGTGTAATAGGAAGAGGAACTTATACGGATCTGTTCTTGGACATCAGGTTCTTTGTAATGTCCATGGAGAAAGCTGAAAAATGCTGCATTTCATCACTATTAGAAGCTGGTCCTGTTTTAAAAGATATAACTAAAATAGTGTATATAAAATATAAGTGTAGTCTGAGTTTCCCTGCATGGGTTAGCCCATGCTCACCATTTTCAAATAGCGCTCTTGTCTTTTTTGATATCTTTCCCCACTTGATACACAATTGTGTTGGCAATAAGTAGTTCATCTTCATTGGTGAATCTGGTTAGTCCTACCTGCCACTCACCTGTAGGGTGTCTGATGGCAGTAGAGGACAAAAGTGTTGATGTTGAAGGTTTTTCTGTTCGGCTTATTGGAGATGGGACCTCAGTGTGAGAGGCCACTCATTCATTCGGACAGCAGTCGTCATGACCAACCTAAAATGACCTGCATACTTTTTCACTGGTGAAAGGTAACAGAATATTTTGAAATATTTTCTATTAAACTTCTGGTTTCCATCAGTTTCTTCATTTCAGTTGACAAAATTGTAAGGGTGCCAGTACTGTATTTGTTAGTCTCTGCAGAGCTGATATATTGATCTCAGTTCTGATGTCTGTTTTCTCCTCTTTTTATGAGGGCTGCACAGGTTAAGCTTTTTAATTACCACTAGGTGTCTCTGTGCATCAGTATTTGTTAGTTCAGTTCAGGTTAACTAGGTCAGTTATATGTAATGTGATCAGGATGTCCAGGACCTATAGTGCTGTGTGGAATGTTGTCTAATTAGAGTTTTTGTTTCTTTTTCTGAGTTGGTAAAGCAGTTATTTTGCTGCTGCCTGTACTTCATGTCCACTTCAATAGTTTCAGTGATGCCATGCAGTCTGAACATTCATCCCTGGTCCAAAGTAACATGATGTTTTATTAATACAATGATAACTGTCTTAATAGTTTGCCTGCATCTCTACATTATATATTTCTGGTCATTATTGTTGAACATATTGGATTATTCGTCTGGTTTTAAGAGTTCACTTGCATTGAGTTGGAGAACAGGTGAGGTGACCACAGCTGTTCTGAAATGCCCACTGAACTGTATGTCTTCTGTCTTGCAGGGGCCCTGTTCCGGTGCTGGTCATGAGTCTCCTCTTCATTGCATCAGTTTTCATGCTGCACATCTGGGGGAAATACACTCGCTCATAAACGAGCACCCTCTCCACCTGGCTTCTTAACTCACCAGACCCGGACCAAAACCTTTCTGTAGTCCTAACTCGCCGACTGGAAAAACCAGTGTCACTTTTCGCAAATGAGCTTAAAGCGGAGTAATGAACACTACCACCATGAACACTTCATGCTTGCGAGAAGGTTTATTGGAATGATTTGTTTTTATTTAAAGGCTTCCCTGCAATATTAATTTAGTTTCTCTCACTTTTTGTCCACAGAAATTCAATATTTGTGGACATCATCTGTACAAACTATGTATTTCTATACAATAAACATTTCTTCCTAATTTGGTATGTTTCATTGAAAACGGTTACAGACATTTAAACTATTTTGGTAGCAGAAAGAAATAGACCTTATGTAGATTTCTATAAATCCCTGTTTTTAAGAAATGGTTATGTGCGCATGCTTACACGGACGATACACTATGAATTAACAGTGGGGAAATATCAAGAATGTCACTGAGCTCTTCCTTCAGTTCTTGAGATTCATCCATCCCACCTTCTTGCGTTTTTATTTTATCTAGAGGACTTCTTTTGAGTAGTTTGTGGCGCTGTCTGATATGTGCCCTAATTGGCAAGGTCTTTCATCATAGCAAACCTCTTAATCTACTCATTTGAATTATTTGCTTTTCTTATCCCCCAGTTTACCGCGTTAGCGTAACTATGAAACCTGCAGGAATAGAGGTGGGCTATGTAGTATAGAAAACATGTTAAAACCTTCTCAACTGTCATTAAAACAAACACTTCTCAAATGTAAGTGACTTCCTTCAAGAAAAGTCTGTTTTAAGGTTTTTAATTCCAAACAAATTTAAGCTTTTAAGTATGGTAGGAGTGATTGTATTTCACTTGCCATAAATTGTATGCTTTGATTTAGGGGTTTTACTTTGATAAATCATACACACTACAGGAAGACATGCTCTCTGTTCATCATGCTGTATGCTTTGTTTAGGACTGGTAATTTAACTGACTGATGCTTTTATCTAAAGCAATTTATATTTATAAAGATCTGTATTGTATGGCTTCAAACTGCACAAATGCTGCATAAGAGCTCCAAAAGCAATCTCTCAAACTGGAACTAGTAGCCTTCTTCAAGTCCAGAGCCTTAGCCACTAATGTGCATTTCTGCTGAAATGTTTCACAATGAACCCATGGTGAATACAGTAGTCCAGTTCATCTTGTCCCTGATCTGCACATAATGAGTCCAATCAAAACTAACCTACCACCTACACCATGAAAACATTGACTATATAAAGACCTCTTTGAGGTTTGATCTGCTAATGCTTGATTTATAGGGAAAATATTCAGAAAACACCTCAGTGATGTGCCAGCTGTTCCATTCCTCAATAGGGCAGTAAGGTTGCCACTTGCCTGAGTGGTGATACCCAGGTAAGAAGATCGGCATGCTTAAAATGCCAAACCCTCCCCCAACAAAAGAATTGTTTGTGGTAACACTGGACGTGTGGGGCTCCGGGTGTCCACTATGAGCGTTAGTTTTCTCAAATTCCCTCTCGGGAACAGGGAATTCTACCTGTACCTGTTTCCAGGTGAACTGTGTTCATAATAGTCTCTGATATTCAGTAATTGATCCAGAATTGATTACTGGGATCAAATGACAGATGACACAACATCCTTTTTTTCACATTACTCACAGGGCAATACTTGCAAGTTAGACATACAAGCTGGTAGTTATATCACCCTGCAACTCACAACTGGCTGTCCCTTGAAGCTCAGCAGGTGTGAGCCTGACCAGTACCTGGATGGGAGACCTCCAGGAAAAAACTAAGGTTGCTGCTGGCAGAGGTGTTAGTTGAGCCAGCAGGGAGAGCTCACCCTGTGGTCTGGGTGGGTCCTAATGCCCCAGTATAGTGACAGGGACACTATACTGTAAAAGGTGATGTCCTTCAGATGAGATGTAAAACCAAGGTCATTAAAAATTTCACAAAGAGAAGAGGTGTTATAACTCCAGTGTCCTGGCCAAATTTCCCCCTTACCTTTGCCAATCATGGTCTCCTAATAATTCCCATCTATCAGTTAGCTTTATCACTCTCTTCTCCCCACCAATATCTGATCTGTAGTATTGCGTACTGGGATTATTATTATTAGCATAAGGAATTGTATTATTCTTATCATGTATTCTTGTTATAATTATACCTGCCTTAGAAGAACAAATTGGACCAGAAGGGCTTCTGGGCAAGTTGAATGCATTATGGTGGTGTCCTAATCTAACGATTGTTTAATTGTTTGTGTGTTATGTAGTATACTGACAAAAAAGTGATCACCTGTTACAAACAGATGTGTAATAATTTGATTGCAAAGTGGTATTTTCACCTTTTATTGTTTATGACGTGTTCTTTAATGGGAAGATGCTCATCTCATAGGAAGGAAAGCTGGCTGTTTACAGTATATTGTTCCAACAGACATAATGACTAAATGATACAGTACCTCAGAAGGTGTCTTGAAAAAAAGGCATAAGAATAATGAGCTCATTTTTGTGAGAGTCTTTTATACAAAGTGTTCAGTCTGTGCTTGGGCAATGTGCAACATCCAGAAGGATCCTACAGAGCCTAACCAAGCGTGATCATTTTCACAGCTTCCAGTCAATCAGGGCTATCCAGTCCTGGTTCTGGAGGGCTGGTGTGTCTGCACTTTTTCACTTCGACATGGCTGTTAAAGAGCAGAATCACCTGGTTACTCACTTAACTGGACTGATTTTACAGTTTCTCCCAGGTCTTCAAGTGTTGCTGCTTAAAGAGATGTGGAAAACCCTGCAGACACACTGGCTCTCCAAGATCAGGACTGGACATTCCTAAAGTAAATGCTAAAATGAATAGCTGCATTTCTCAAGACACTGGAGTAGTTCTACTAGTTAGTAAATCTTGCATTAATTTGCAATATATTGTAGTATATTAAAAAGGATACAAATGAAAGGAGGTCATTTAGCCAACCAGGCCCAAATATTTCATCCACCTGTTTCTTGAAAGAATACAGGATTATGGATTCCTCGGTACTGCAGGGTAGCCTGTACCACACGCCAACACAGACGAAGATTTTTCTCAGGTTTAATGGTGATTCTAGGTATTTTTTACCCGTGTACTCCAATTTCACTGGATTCTAAAGAAGTCCAATTGGTTAACTTTGGCAATGTCTTTGAGGACTTTGAACACTTGGGTTAGCTTCTCTTGCAGTCTTCTCTGCTCAGGGCTAAAAAGGTTCAGTTCCTTTAGCCTGTCAATGTCAATGTGTGGTATGTGTATACCTCGGGCTGGCAAAGCAGCAACAAGAAATAACACAATGTAATTTTCAAGGCAGGTGACACCACAGGTTTCACACAGGTTTATGCTACACGAAGTACACAAGTAGGAGCATCTCAGAATCGGAGAGACTACAAGGATGAGAGGAGGGATAAAAACAATGTCCTGAAAAATAAGGGAGTATTGTGTGCTACCTAGACCTTGACTTTATGACAGGATTTACTTCCAGGAAGCGGTTGACATCCTAACAGTGGGTGGGGTCCTAGCCATAGGATGTGAACATACAACATTTATTCTTCACATTGAGACAATCACCACAGGGAACAGAAGTAACCAGAAGAAATGCAGAGATCTTGGCATGAAGTTTTGCCGGTATTTGTACAATTAGCAACTGATAATTCTGTGCCAATAGTTCTATTGAATATTGTTGTTGTTGTATGAGTGGCTTGCAAATCAGAGTTAATGAAATGGAAAAGATGAAAATTCATTGTTGAATTTAATATTGACTGGACTCAGCATGTGTCAAAAACATATATAACGGTGGTGCCCGAGCAATGGAGCGAGCAATGGAGGAACATTCTAACTGTCCTCACCACTTATCTCCAGCATGAGTATTGTTGAGCTTTTCCTTTTGTTTTTGCAGAGTTAAAAAGGCAGACAAAGCTCTCCAGACACAGGGACAACAATGATCAACCATCATGCACTGGTGAAAAACTTCCAAAAATGTCATGCTAGAAACAAAAGAAATCCCACTGAGCCATTAATCATTTAGTTTTATTTTCATCATTGGAAACAATTATCTTTGAGAAAGTGGCTTGGTAGCACTTAGATTGGCTGTGATCATTTCAGGCTTCCATTGACCATTGAAAAAGTAATAAATTGGAAAAACAAAAGAAGACTTGATAGCATGCTGGGCATAAATATCAGCTGTGATGAGGTTTCACTTCCTAATCACTGGAGAAAGTTGAAGTAACAGAAAGGTTTTTTGACAGTCTTGTGCAATCATTTAAAAAAAAACATTATTCCACAATAATCATAGTAATATTCACTCCTTACACTTAAATAGCACTTATTTTGGATATCTGCTCAAAGCACCCACCTGGATGATGCCGTGGTGTGCCAGTACACACCAGCTATCAGTGGGGAGGAGTGATGAGTGATGAAGCCAGTTCATAGATGGGGATTATTAGAAGGCCAACGTAAATGAAGAGCAGGACACAGAGTTAATACTACTGAACTTCAAGAAACACCCTGGGATTTTTAATCACCACTGAGAATCAGGACCTTGGTTTTACATCTCATACAAAGGATGGTGTGTTTTTACAGTATGGTGACCCTGTCACTATACCAGGGCATTAGGGCCCACACAAACTCCTTTTGGCTCCACAAACACCTCTTCCAGCAGCAGGAGCATTCACTTTCCTAGGAGGTCTCCCATCTAGGTACTGACCAGGCTCACACCTGCTTAGTTTCAGTGGGCTGCTTGTTGTGACTTGCAGGGTGATACGGCTACTGGCTGTTTAAAAATTACATTACTGTATACCAATCTTACAATCAGTATGACTCTACCATTACATCTCTATCAAAAAACGTCTTTAAAGGGTGATTGTCCATTCTGAATCAATTCATTCTGCAAGTGCTTGGTGGGGCTAAATTTGCACAATAAGAGTCCTTCCAAGCCTACCAATTCCTGTATTCCATGTCTCTTTACCCCATCCTGCCTCTGAAACTGTGGTTTTCCAGTCCTCCTCAGGATCTCAAAGGAACAGGTTTTCTTCCTTGGTCCCTGTACAGGGCCTACAGTCCTTACCATATTGTAAAAAATGACATAATGTAAGGCCCCAGTGAGATTTGAACTCATGACCCCTGGTTTACAAGACCAGTGCTCTAACCATTGAGCTATGGAGCCTCGCTTGCCCCTAGGGCTTCAGTCAGACAATATGAAGACACACCCCACATACCCACAGGTATATTTACGCATCACATGTCCCTGCCTTTGCTGTCAGTGTGACACGGTATAGCTGAAACACACGTCA